TTTTTTTTTTTTTTTTTTTTTTTTTTTTTTTTTTTTTTTTTTGTGTGTGTGTGTGTGTGTTAGGGTCTTATAGTTTTTTGTTTTTTTTTTTCATTTTCTTTTGCCTGTTTCCCTTTTTGATGTTTGCACTATTGGCCAATCTAGTTTGTTTTTGAATATTTTGTTTTTTAAATCACCAGTGCTTGGCCCAGCTATCGGCCGCGGTGCTTTCCCGTTAACGCGCCGCGCCTTTTGACATGTTTGGATCAATAATTAAAAAGTTGGCATTTCGTTGAATTTCAGCTATCGGACAGTGTTTTTGTGTTAGGGTCTTATGGTGTTTTTTTTTTTTTTGTTTGTCATTTTCTTTGGCCGGTTTCCCTTTTTGATGTTTGCACTATGGGCCAATATAGTTTGTTTTTGAATATTTTGTTTTTTAAACCACCAGTGCTTGGCCCAGCTATCGGCCGCGGCGCTTTCCCGTTAACGCGCCGCGCCTTCAGGGCTTCAGGGTACCGGACCACAATGGCTGGAAACGCCAGCCTAAAAATTTTTGAAACGGTACCCCGGCGCTTCGGCGAAAATTGGCGCGCAGGGGCATTCAAAGCCCGGCATCGATAGCTGGGCCAAGTACTGGTGGTTTAATATTTTGCGCTGAAATTGCCTGTAGCGGACACGTCCAAGCCGCCAAGGATATGGTTTGTCCACTAGGAGAAATAGGACGTGGTACATCATGCACTGTTGAAAGGCAGACTTGAGTTCAATGAATGAAACCAAATATGAGGATGATTCAACTTTTGTTTCCCGCCTTCTCGCGTCACACTGGGTCTTGCTCCACTACTGTCCGCTATACACAATTTCGTATCGTTGCCGTATAGCTGTCAGACCGCGAAAAAATGTATAGAACCCGGCGTCGCTCCACTTACTATCTGCTATACAAAGTCTCCAGTTCCTGAGTTCACTATGCAACACCCTAACAGCACTAGAAKACARCMATTTGTCCGTCCAGACTTGAGGTTCACCATACAAAAACGCAGCGGGTCTGTGGTTTCCTTTGAGGAGTATCCGAGTAACGACTTTTGCAGGCTGGGAACTATACACCGACGGAGAGTGCAATCTCCGACCGATATCTGACAGCTATCCAAGCGATTTGGCAGGTGTATAGTGCAATCTCTGACCGATATCTGACAGCTATCCAAGCGATTTGGCAGGTGTATAGTGTACAGTAAGTAGAGCGATGCCGAACTCTCCAAATTCGGAGAGTGTACAGTAAGTAGAGCGATGCCGAACTCTGTTGAGGGGGTTTCTTGTCTGATTGATTGACTGCTGCTCTAATTTAGATTTGCCGATGACCCATGATTGTGGTGCGTTTCTTCTGTGATTTCACGGCGAAGAGGGCTAAAGGCGGGATTGCAGAACGAACTAACGATGGCTATGGCCACCACGAGTGAAAGGGCCGATGAATATACACAAAGGAGAATGCAGGCTCTTGATTGTTCACCCGACGCTGTGGCGGGGGATCTGCTGGGCAGGTTTAAAAAAAAAAAAAAAAAGGGCGGCAGTCTTGAAATATATCCACAGGTGACCGGCCCTGGGTAATTCGAGATTGTTATGGAAGTTATTACTGTAGATTATATGTCATGATCATGACTTATTGAGCTTATGTTGTGACAGGTATGTTGAGAGTTTTTTTGCCTCTGGAAATATCGTGAAATTGAGGGTCTCAACCCTGATAACCATCGTAATTATGAATGTCAGCTGCTGGGCAGATTACGTCTGTGAGCTGGCGAAAACTGGGAATGAAGCCTGACGTGGGAGATCTGCTGTTGCACGTCTGAGCTGGCGGCGAACTAGGAATGACGCCTAACGATTTCTACGTCACTGACAGAATCAGCAGCAGCACAAACCAGTCGTCGTTCCGGAGCGACACCTTACTTGGCACGCTGTAGAAGGACCATCTATTGTCCTGCACGTGCTCCACATATCTGCACGCGGCCAGAAGTGGCCAGCGTGCCAATCTATTGTGAGACATTGCGTCGCTATCGAGACAATCGAGCATGTGAATTGGCATAGTCAATCGCCTGGAACAACACCTATCCGGGCAGGCACTGTAACGGACCAGGAACAGGCGTCCGGACTGTGGTCGATCTGAAGTGGATCTCGGCGGCAGCGGAGAAGATCAAAAGGGGAAGGCAGAAACGGCAGAACGAACTGAAACCATACATACGAGGGCTTCTCCAATCGGCAGTTGATTCCTAGTTGATAGATGGCTGCCATGGAGACAGCTGTTGCCTGGGTTCCGAATTTGGGGGTCCCCTTGGTGTCTCATCTGGACACCACGGGGCTCTACACGGAATTCGGCGACGATCAAGAGGGTGTGGATGGGCTATGGGAGAGGGTGATGGCCGGTTTGGAAGCAAGTGCTGACATGGATGATGTTGATGAAAAGGACAACGAGAGAGAGGTTGGGGATGGAGTGGACGCTATTCGAGGAGAGGAAGGAGAGGCTGACGATAACGAAGAAATCGATCCGACACAAACGGTATTTGTAAGCCAGTGGATGGTGGCTGTTCTTATGGCGCTTGGCATGGAGATGATCAGCGGGACGGAACACCAGGGTACTGTCGGAAGTATCGTCAATGCCGCAGGTATCCGGATCTTGCGGCTCCCCTCGGATCCTGCGTAAGTGCAAAAACACCACTTTTTGGAGCATTCCTGCAGCGGAAGACATGCTCTTCTCTGTCTTAGCTCGTCTCTTGAGTGTTCTGCTTAATGCATGTTACTCTGGGTGCTTCACACATTATCGTTCTGCAAGAAGACAATGTGGTGGTTAGTTTCTCGTTAATGCGATCGCCTCGTAGGTTTCATGAACTACTAGCCGCTGTCGTCTTCACTCGAATAGAAATACCTGCTCATTATAGCTGCACCGAGACTGGAAATTGTGCCAAATACAGCTATAATGACCAGGCATTCTATTCGGGTGAAGACGACAGCGGCTAGTAGTATTACGGGTATCACCCTGAACTGTGGAACTACAGAACTGAGTAACCCTTTTTTTTTTTTCCCAACCAATTCAATTACCTGTCAAATCTGGACAGGATGGCCTTTCAGCCCTTTTTTATTGTGATCGTAGTATTACGGGAACCCCGTAGCAGCCACATCAGTGCTTCAGCCTCCAACGAGGGAACATGCCGGAGCTGGACCCACCAGCGATACCTGCTACAGCAGGTGGGCCATACCGGCCAGGGGTCAGCAGGTCGATGGGCCAGTCGCTGTGCCTGGGAGGCCTTTTTTTTTTCTTTTTTTTAAAAAAAAACAGGCTCCGTGGGAAGCATCACGTGCTGAGAACCGGGCTCAGCGTCCCTTATGAACTTCATAGGTTAAAGTTGAGACAAAACCATGAGCATGACACAATCAGAGAAAAACCACTGTGCTGGAAAACGGGGTCCAGCGTCCCATACCTCCGACTAACTGAAACCAAAAACCAGGGGTCTGATTTGGCTTCTCACGTCTGAACTCTCATGCAAATGTTCATGGATGTATGCGAGGTTGAACTTGACGAGAAATTGGCTCATTTCAATTTAATTTGCGCATCAAAAAAACGAAGGGATGCTAGCCTGCTTTTGGCTTGCACTGCCAGCCATTTTGGACCGGTACCCCCCAAAATGCGGCGCGTTAATCCACGAGTACTTGGCCCAGCTATGAAGTCCAAGCCTCCAGCGACCGGTATCTCGAGCCTACCAAGCCTGGAAGTACCAGTCGAGCCTACCAAGCCTGGAAGTACCAGTAGCTGGACAGGCCGAGGCTGGGGGGACCAGTTGGAAAACAAAACCAGCAAAAAAAGAAACACAAACAACAATGCTGTGGATGTGAATGCAGTTGGATGCATTCTCCTGAGTGCTAATGTGAGCAAGGCGCAGTTTGGGTGTATCAGCCCCATGGCGTTTTTGTCAGAATTTAAAAGTAAAGTAAGGAAATAAAAAACAAAGCAATGAATCTCAAAGAAGAAAAAAAAAACGAAACATGAATTTGGCCTTGAAATTAGTTCGATACATTTGTCTGTGTGCAAGTGTGAGTATGCCCTCAAAGAGGGTTGTGCAGTAGATCACGGGGGCACGGTCCCACTAGCACCCGGATTAGCCTAAGCTATATCCGGGACACATGTGTTTTCCGTATTAAAGAGACTTCAAGAAATAATTAAAAATAGAAAAAAGAAATAGAAAAAATAGAAAAAAGAAAAAAGAGGGGGGGAAAGTCAACACAGCATACGAAATGTATCTGGAGCCGTCCTTGGTCCGATACATTCAAAATGTGGGAGCAGACTGAATGCTGCTAGTGGTCCTGCGTAATTCAGTTTCTGGGTCTGAGCCGTTGACAGGTTTCTTAAAATGTATGGGGCTGTATTACGAGCCCGATACACTACAGTGCTGCGCCAGCCTCTGATGCTGAACTTAGGGGCCTGGAAGGACGATGCTTCCCATTCTCACAGGGCAACTGCCAGGGTCACAATATTTTTCAATCTCCTGATTTTTATTCCACTTTTCTGAATTATTTTTCAGGGAACGATGACTGCTCTCTACCCGAAAATAATGTGCTCTAGGGAGAAGTCGCCCCTCACATGCATTTTCTTTTCTCTTTTTAATGCATGGCCAATGGGAGGGGGGTCCATTTTCATTTGGAAGACATGGAAAAAGTGAAAAGAACTGAACAGTTTATGAAAAAAGCAGCGCGGTGAGATCTGCGTGGAATGGATGGCCCTAGCGGATAGGACTACTATGTTGTCCCTTTTTTTTTTTTTTTTTTTTTTCAAGTAGGCCCCAACGTCGAAGGCTCCATCTATTGGTGGGGAGCTACACCTGCTGGAAACCGGGTCCAGCGTCCCAATACAAATGATGAAAATATATCTGCTGGAAATCAGGTCCAGCATCCTTGTGCCATGGTGTGAATGTGTGTGCTGGAAAACAAGTCCAGCGTCCCTGTCGATCTGACCTATAGAATCTTGCAGAAAAATGAGACATCAATCCTATCAGGCGAAACCCTAATCATGATGTAATGTGTATTACACTACTGTGATTTGTATCTGCTGGAAATCGGTCCAGCATCCCTATACCATGTTGTGTATCTATATCCAACAGGCAGAAACTAATGACCTTTGTGCAATGATAAGATATGAAGAAGCAATACACTCCATCATGTACATATACCTAACCTGTATCTTGAAAAAGAACAGAGGCATTGATTACTCCCCTACAAAAGGGAGGATTGACCTCCTGTTCATGAGGTATTGTTCGTAATCGAGGATTATTACTTTCTGACGTCCTATATGCTGGCAGAATTATCATTGTCCCCCCCCTACAAGCAATCTTCAGTTTGATGGGTGACCCACCCCCTCCTCCATTGAGGTTGCGGACCGGGCAACCCCTATCAACCAAGGGGGCGGGCAGACTCAACTATCCTATCCCAACCCGATGCCAGCCAAGGAGGAGCAAGCGATGGTAGGGTTTGAGGGAGGGGGAAAATATCAATCCGTTTCTTCCAGCCCTAATCCCATCCCTATCCACCTCAGCCAATCCCCTCCCCTCCCCCCGTACAGCTGATAATAGCGGATGCACGCACCTTGCTGCTGAGCATGCCGCTGACTCGATCTCTGCTATCAATTATGAATCCGGCATTGATACTATCATTATAGTTATCGTTGTTGTTGTAGCGTCCTCCCCTCTCTTTCCCTCTGTTCCCGTGGTTGTCGTTGCCGCCATCGTCACGATTATTGTTGATCATGTTGTTGTTGTTGTTGTTGTTGTAGTTGTTGTTGTCGTCGTTGTTGTTCTCGCCATTGTTGTTAATGTTGTTGTTATCCTTCACACCCCCTTCGCCCATTTCACCCAATCCCAATCCCTGCGCACCATCGTTTTTGTTATTGTTGTTATAATTGATATTGTTGTTATTGTTGTTGTTGTTGTTGTTGTTGTTGTTGTTGATGTTGTTGTTGTTGACGTCTCCATTATCTTCTGTGTCCACCTGCAGTATCACTCCCATCATGGTGCAGCCTTGGACGTCGCCCCCCCCATCATTGTTATTGTTTACACCATCCCCATCCTTGGTGTCACTGTAGCCGATGTTGTTGTTGTTATCGGTGTTTTCGTCGTAATCATCTTCACTTGCCAGCAATCCATACCGATACTCCAACTGATTGCGTAGATCTCGCCCCAATGTGAAGAGGATTCTGCAAGCAGCTAACCTGTCATCCGCCCACCCCCAGTCGATGTAGACTTCAAGCCGGGGATCCGGCCCCTCCTCCAGCTCCCACAAGATGTCTAACAACTCTTGAATCCTATCTTCCAACCACTGGTCCATCGAGATCGCTCCCCCATCGATCTGCCCTCTTCATGCTGCCGCTACATAAGCAACCCCACTATCATCTGCATCTGCTTGCATCCCTCCTCCAGTGTGGTAATCCATTCTTATGCTTGTTGTTGTAGCTCCCCTACCAAATCCATCTCTCCCCCTTTTTTTTTTTTTTATAACAAAAACAGCTCCATCTATTGGTGGGGAGCAACACCTGCTGGAAACCGGGTCCAACGTCACTTGAATACATGAATACATGAATGATATGAAAAAACATTATGCTTGAACTATAGAGTTGGTTGAGATGTGCCTCTTCACCCCATTAGGGCGCCAAATCTAATTGCTTCATTCTAGCACTCTTCTCATCTTATCTATCAACCTAATTAACATAAAATATGAATACCATGAATACCATATTTTCCTCCTTTTTTGACTTCATTCATACCCAAACCAAACCCTTGGGACCAGACTTAGTGTCGAGGGGGGAAAAGGGTCTGGGAAATCCGATAGTGGACGTAAAGGGATAGTTGGATCGATCATAGTCCAGTCATTAAAAACAAGCTTATAATCCTGTCTCAACTCGTCTTCTTCTCCTCTCCTTGCCCCCTCCCATTCAACCTTCCCCATTTCCCCCCCCTTGGTTCCTCCTAGCCAGCTTTGATTGAATCGTTGAATGTGCTGCAGGATTTCCTTTGATGAGGATATAAATTTTATTTTTTCTTTAGACTGTTCCCATTTTATATTGATATCAGTTTGTATTTGTTGCTTAACTTTGTTAGTGAGTTCTGGTCCATCTAGTCTGACTCCTTCCATTTCATTTGTACATCTTCTCAACCATATTGCCCATAATACCGCTCTCCTACCCATATTGTATACATTTTGTGAGAATTCATCAATAACTTCAGGGGACCAGGTTTCAAGAAGAAAGGTTCTCCAGTCCCATGGCCATTGGACTTTTGTTTTCAAATTAGACCAAATACAGTCCCACCATCTCCATAGGTAAATTGCCCCAGGACACTGTAAGAATACATGCTCGATTGTCTCAGGAATTAACTTAGAAGGAAACGCAAACTTACAAAATTTACACCATGGAAACGCTTTCCCTCTTTGTTCCAATGTCGACCTATCTATAAGCCAATCATTTGTGGGTAGACATCTATGTTTTATTTGCTGTTGTAGTGAAGCCATTTTTGCAGGTTTAATTTTGGTCTTACTAAACCATTTTACCTTTCTTAGTGATTCTTTATTAACATTAAGATGCTTCATCCGTCTTTCTTCAACCTTGTCCTTTAAAAATTTTTTAGGGTGAAGCATCCTATAAGTGGACTTCACTGTTATCGTGTGAAGAGTACAAGAATACCTTCTTCCTTTCCTTCCTGTATTAGACCACTTCCAATTTGCAGGATCAAGAGCCAGATGATTTATAGGTGTATTAGGTTTAAAGACTTTCTATTTATCTTTGTACTTGAATACTTTGATTATGAATACTTGCTCCTTTGTCACCTTCTTTATACTATTTTGACCCTTGATTATAACTGTTTAATTACTATCCATTTCATAGGTAGTAAGAAGGATCTCCCCATCCTCCAAAACTACTACAATACTACCTATGATATTTGACTGATCATTCATAGCAACCCAATCACCTTCTAATAACTAAGGGTTCTTTTTTAGAATCCTTACCCAATCCAAAGGCATCTAGTCAATTAAATTTTTAAAAGCTTTCTCAGAATGATGGCAATACCTAAGGTGGGTTTGTAACTGTGAAGTGGTAATCCACTCTCTCTCTTCACTGTTCTAGATGTTTTTTATTCTAACAATACCATTTTTAACCTACCCTCTCAAAGGAGAATCTGCACCATGAAGGACACATCCTTGAGGATCTTTAAGAAGATTATTATTAAAAAGTGGTTGTTGACATACCTCTTTCCATCTATCAGGGGGGTTTTGGTCTGTTAATGGTAATCTCCTCCATATTTTAATGAGGTTAGTCCAAAACGCATCATTACGTAAATCCATTCTTGTCGCCTTCCTATTTGATAGCCTTTGATCCATTGGTTCATTCACTATCCCTCTTGGAGTGGTCAAAAACCTGTTTTCAAGCCACATCATTGGATCTATGTTGTCAGGTGTCTTTGGTGCCAGACGTCTGATTTGTTCCCATGCCAATCCACTCCAAGGGGTTTGGGGATTAAAGAGTAGGCGTTTAATCCATTGAATCGATAGGGTCATAGCTTGTAAAGAAGGATCAATGATGCCTAACCCTCCTCTTACCTTGGGTTGAATCACTGATTGTCACGCTACCCTACTAATTACCTTATCAAACTCATGGTTGCCCCTCCATAAAAAAAAAGATAGCTCACGTTGCAGGGCCTTTAACTCTTTCTTTTTTTAACGCCCATATTGCTGATTTATACCAGATCGAGGCTAGAGCCACATTATTGATTACCAAAGTACGACCAAAGAGAGAAGTATGCTTACCCTTCCATAGTTTCAACTTAGCATATGCCTGTTTGGATATAAACTCATCATTAGTTGCTTGTCTTCCTGTTGTTGGAAGAGAAATACACAATACCCTAATAAAAGTATCTAGTGAAAGTCATTTTACTTTGGGCAGTTCAGGGGGTCTTACGCCTTGATGATGAATCCACCAGCCCATCGTTTTATTACCTCAATTTACCCTCATGTCAGATAGTCTACAAAACTTATCCATCAGACTACTTATAGCTTTCATATTCATTTTAGATGCTTCTACCATCAGGGATAGATCATCACCAAAGAGAGAGCGAACAGGAATAGCTTCCTCTGGAAAAAATGACACTTGAATTCTTTTAATATCCTTACGTTGTCTGAGGTTAGTTGTTAAAGCCTCCATGATTATGACAAAACGAAATGGGGCAATTGGGTCTCCTTCTCTCACTGATCTCTGTAAGGAGATAGAGAGAGTTATATTGTCATTTACCATTACCCTGGTTGTAGCATTCCTATGCAATATTTTCACCCACCTTCTAAAGTTTGGACCAAAGTTAAATTTTCTAAACATTTATCTAGAAATAACCAATCCACATGATCATAAGCTTTCTCAAAGTCTATAAATATGAAGGTCGCATTATGTTTGGATCGTCGTGATATCCTAATCAACTCATTGACTAATAGTATATTATCTTGGATATTCCTTCTTGTAATTAACCCTGTCTGCACTGGATGAATAATTTCAGCAATGACTTTGGATAGTCTATTGGCTAGAGCTTTCGCCATCATTTTGTAGACTAGCGTTAGGAGGGTGATCGGACGATAGTTACGAATGTTTGTTTTATCCCATTTTTTAAAAAGCAGAGTTAAGACCCTTTGGCCTACAAATTCTCCCATTTGTCCTGAGGTCCAAACTGCCAGATAAAAATCCATGAGGTCTTGTGAAAGGAAATCCCATAAGGATTCCCAAAATTCCTTGGGAAGACCATCGATACCTGAGGTCTTTTCTTCTTCCATAAGCATTAGTGTTGTCCATATTTTCTCCTTTGAAACTAACATTTCTAACTTCTCTTTTTATTCTTCAGTTAGTGCTTTGCCCACAGGCTTAAGAAAATCTTCTATTTCCTGAATTCTTTGAATCTCTGGGATACTTTTAGTTTCTGACTTAAGGAGATCCTGTAAGAAATCCCTGACTATTTTCATACATGATGCTGAGGAAGTGGCCAATGAAACGTTCTTATAAAAGTGGTCTTCTAGGGCTTCAATAATCGTGCGACCAAAGTTTATTTTTGCCAAAGAAAAGAATCTTGCATCCATCTCCCCTTCTATTTGGTGTTTTCTTAGCTTACCTCTAATCCTTATTCCTTGCCACCTGTATTCCATTTGAGTCAATAATTGATCCTCCAGTTCTTTGATTTCTTAAGCAAGAGGTTTTAAAAACCCCATCTCTTCAGATTCATTCTCCTGTTGTTGGAGCTGTTGAATTTTCTGATGCAAACGTGTTTTTTATAGTGTCTTTGAATATTCATTGCATTTACGACCTATAAATGCTAGGTCATTGTTGAACCATTTTACATCATCTTGTATGAGGTCCCGCTGGTAACGCCAGAAGGTCCACACATCCTTTAGAAAGGAAATAAAGTTTTCAAACGTCTTGCGTATTTATGCATAGTAGAGTCTATACCGTTAGTCTAGGAACAACTACTCAACATCCGTCAAATGTCCAGTCGAAAGAGATCAACAAAAAAAAAGGGGGGTGAACCGACCCTGAAAAGTCCAAAGTATACAGTTCAGTAGTTCGAAACCTAGGCTAAAAAACGGTCTAGAGGCAAAAAAGGAAAAAATTGTCTCACATCGAAACCTCAACTTACCAAGGCAGCGGTTCGAAACCTAGCGAGCCTTAATGACCAACAATAACTTGCTACAAAACTATTCACTCTTCAATGCGAAAAAGACAAAGCATCAACCGACGATTTGAGGCTAAGTTACCTTCAGCAAAGAACCTCTAGATCAAAAACAGAAACAGAAACAGGGTCAACTACAGAGACTGTCCATCACGTCGAAGCCCAAAAAGACAAAAACAGGCCAAAACAAAGGATCAACAGTTCGAAACCATCACAACAAAAAAACAGGTCCCCCTACATATAGAATAAAGCATATCTCCTTACCCTCCTTCCGACAGCGGCTCAGTGAGGGGAGGTGATATAAAAAGAGGAGGACAAAAAAGAAGAAGAAAAAAACAGGAAAGAGAAACTACAAGATGAATAGTGACCCCTAAATCGGGGCAGAAACATAGCATTTGCAACGACAATTCTATGGGAAGAGGCAGCCCAATTCGTCAAAACCTTGATCGAATTGCTCCAACATCCAACAAACTTTCAAGAGAAGTTAACGAGCGCCATATCGAAATAAGAATCCGGGTAACCCCTAATACTCAACTCATGCTTCAAAGTCACCAGAAAAACAAATTCCAGACCAGGAATAGTAGTAAACACCCGAGCCCGGTGAAAGAAGGAAATGATCACAGCCATCTTCTGTTGACGACTTGAGTAGGACGATAAATCTTGAAGGCTATGGAAAATCAGTCCATGCTCCGAAACAACACTCGGGTTCTTATGTGTCGCCACACATGTAATTCTACAGGGATTCTTGAAAACTTTGACCACACACCCAATGAAGTCCCAGGAGTCACCCTCGTTTGTCTGTTCCAAAGTGAGGTTTGAGTTATAACATTCGAGAAAGGATTCAATAACACGTTGCGCCACCATTAGTGACGACGAAGTCTTCCTTGAATAGCGCACAAAGATTGAGACGTCATCAACAATTCGAAATCCAGCAACCAATTTCTTATCCGCCCCAAGAGAAGAAAGGAAGCAAAACTCATTATACGCACATAGTAGACATGCGAGTGCATGGCTAGTGGATTTGCCCATTGGTATACCCAAGGTTTGTTGCAGCAGAATGCCAGACGCGCAAACAAAGGTGTTCTCCAAGTCGAAGAAAACATACTGTCGAATGGTAGGGAAATCAATTAGAATCCACCCGACTTTCCCACGTCCTTTTGTCAAACGAGCCACCTTGCAATGCTTCCTCACCATGACACCCCGATAACCTTCACTGTGCCAATAATCGGTCACTCAATTCAGAGCTTTCAAGATTGAGTCATGTGGTAGATTGGAAAACATCTCTTTCACGCCGAATGAGGCCCCCAAAAACTGATCGGCGGCAGTGATCGTCCTTCCTCGTGGTCTGATTTGATAATTGGATTCCAGTTAACAAAGTCAGCAGTCTGACGTAGATTGAAACGTAGGTTCTTCGACAGTTTTCAGAGAAGTTCATTAATTGCATATGCAACTCTTCTTCCACCTAATGTGCCACCTTCAGCAAATGATGGACAGATAGGACGCCAACGCCCAACGTCTTTGTGCTTGGGTAAACAGTATGCATCACCAATCTTAACTTTGACATTTCATTTTTTCAATCGGTCGAACTTTTTTTTTATAAACTGATCTTTGCAACTACCAATGACCTCACCCATTTCCTTCGAGGAGTGCAGAAAGTAGGGATTAACAGTGAACAATTTAGCCATACCTCTCCCATACAACGTAGGACAACAGACGTATGTGTCACCCGGATTATGGTCAACAAGACTACACACCAACCCATCAAAATTCGATAAATGTTATCTCAGAACAACATGAAACACCCGTCCTCACGTCGTAGAGGGTTATTTGTGAGACAGGCACTGAGAGAAGAAGTGGAAAGATCAGCCAAGGCATGTTCAGATCGCAACTCGGGAACGGATTGAAAGAAGGAGATAATTTGTTTTTTAAGAAAACGTAGTGGATTATCAGCTATCGGACAAATGATGGTCTTCGAATTCTTCATTTAGGAAGGGAAAGAATCGGAGGTGCTAATTCTAAAAGAGACATGTCCATCAACTCGTTGCAAAAATTGGTCAACAGAATCGCACACACTGGCATAAGAGCCAAGTTTCGAGAATTTTCGAAAATTGTGTCCCCAACAGTGCAGTTCTTGCACCATACTACTCGAAGCCGACGTATCAATACTAATTTCCAAGCTTCTTCAATATCGAAGCTCCAAATTATCCTTGCGTAAAGTTTACGAATCTCAAACTTACAAAAAACCTCGTCATATGCAAGACGCACTACCAGTCTCTTCCGAACAGGTACACCAAAACGAGAGGACATACACTTTGAAAGTATCAATCGCAAATGAAATCTGGATTGTTTTTCAGAGAAGGTACGAAGAGCAAAGAAAGCAGAGAGGAACTTATTGAAATCCCAAGTAACAAGAGACTTTCTCGATGATGGAGTACTGAGCAGAGAGGTCAAAGAAGGTTTGAGCGACAACAACTTGCGACAAAAAGGATGAACCGAGCAGAAAGTAACTATGGAATCGTTGACCAACCAACCTTTAGAAGTTCGTAGCTGATCTCTACCGAAACGACAGGAAATGACAGAAGAGTCGTAACAACGTTTCAGGATCTTCCAAGAATCAACCAAAATAGAGCCCCCCCGGCATACAACCGTCACAGTAGCAATATCATTATCGCGAGAGTAGTCTAAAATACGAATTAAACTATGTGAAACAATGCCGATTAATGAGTGAAAGGTCAGAAGAGACGACTTGGCCGAGAAAACATCAGTCCTACTACACGCATCATAATAATTACGTTTTTTCTTCTCTCCCTTTTTCCTGGTCGTTTCCTACGACATCGTCTCGGCTTATCTCGTGAATTTAGAGCAGGACAAAAATACTTGATCAGTCGTTTCTCTACAGACAACAAATCCTCTGCCGAACAATAGCAAATAAGAATGGCAACATACCCTTCAATCCCACTGCGCCTTAGCCAACTATATAAACGTTCGTTGCGGGTTCCGTTATTAACCAACCTATTACTCGTAGCCCTATATACATGCTCATTCCACCGTGCAGAAAGATTACGTCCTGTACTCCCAATATAGATGTGCTTATTCCATGGAGAAACAAGTAAATATACCAAAGGACCGACATCGTTACCGCATGAATTCTTCCGCCAATACTCAGTAAGGCAATGGGTGAACTTACTAGCCCACGGGACACAACCACTGAGAATAATTACTATCACAACAGTCTGTAATAGCGAATTGAGTTCTTTACATCAAAGAAGAGAGGGTGAAGTCCGTATCTTACAACATATACATGCAAGATTCCGAAAACGTGTCACGTCCAGGAGAGACTCTAAGAAGTAGCAGAGTCTCCCCCCGTTCCTTTGGCCATATCATCTTCATCACCCGCCGAATCCTGAGATATATCATCTGCTGTAACCTTCGTAGATGGATAGGCTGCTGCCACTCGATGTGAAACTATGTCCTCCACCGTTTGTTTGACCCCCGCACTCCTTTCTCACAGATAGTTGTCAAGGCGTCCTTGGTCAACCCACGTAGATTCTTGTGATTGTCCCGAATGAAGTTTTCTCTGTCCACGCCATTGGTATCGTAGTTAGTAGCCGCTGCTTTGCCTTTGCTTTTCTCCATCACAACTTCTTCCATGTGCACGCGTAAATTAGAGAGGGGCGTCACTTGAACTTTCTCCTTCTCTATACGAGCCAACTTTTCTCTCACTCTTTCGAACTCTTGTTCAGCCTCACGTCGAACATTAAACTCTCAAGTACGCATCTCTTGTATTGTTTCCACCTCCATACGATGCAGATCCATCATGTTTTTGTAATCAACAACAACTGGTGATTTACTCGGAGTGCCTGTAGGAGGTCGTATAGTACTTTTCGGTGCTGGAGTGAAAAGTGAGATGCATCCTCTTTTGTTGCCCGACCGCAAAGCCTCCTGTTGCCATCTCTCTGCACGCCTCATCTCTGGCAGTTCGCACCTCCTTTACCTCTTTCTCGACAATCTCTGAACGCACTTTAGTAGCCATCACCTCCTCCAATTGTGCCTTCATTTTCTCTTGATCCGACAACTTCCTTGCAATCAGTCCGTCATTTTCCTGAAGCTTGCCTTGAACAGTGCTTGTCGAAGGACCGACTGGTGTGTTCTTGGAACTCAAGCGCTCGATCTCTTTCTTGAGGGCGTCCACTTCCGCATTGGCCTTCGCTCCGGCATCCTTACCCTGAATTAGTTCCACGACACCCGCCAGCTGCAGCTGCACTGAATCCCTCAATTCCTTACGAAATTCCTCTTGATTCTTCCTCTCTTGTTCCCGTCTAGCCTCTTCTTCCTTCTCCTTCTTCGCCTTATCTTCCTTTGCCTGTTTATTCTTCTCTTTCTCAACTTCAACATCATGTTTGGTCTTCATTTCAATGACCATCTGCTCCAAAAACTCTAGGCGCTGCCTAGCCTGCTGCCAACCGTATCCTCTGACATATTGTCCTGCAACGTTGCCAGTCACAACAAGAAAAGAAGTGGAGCTAGACGGTAGAGTAAGTAAAGGAATTTGAGCAGGCACGATAGCAGAATGGGGATTAGAAGGTTTCGGATGAGGGCACCATCTGGCAAAGTGGCCAGGGTCCCCGCAATTGAAACAGGTTCGGACAATGGTGGAGTTAGATATATTCGAAGCTATATTATGATGATGACAAACAACGCAGCAAAAGTTGAAGCCACACAAACACGTAGTATAATCTCTACGGTGGTTACTTCGTGAGTTCAAGTACTTCCGTTGAAGGCTACTTAACAATTTTTGAAAAAGTCATCGACCACAAACATGGAACGACAATCACACACAAATCAAAGTACCAGAACATGCAAAGTCGCATGCAATCCGCAACGATGGAGAAAAAGAAGGGAGAGAAGAAGAAGAAGAAGAAGAAGAAGAAGAAGAAGAAGAAGAAGAGTAAACACGCAGGTTCATGAAAAACCCGGACGCGACACATAGCATGGTCTAGACCTGGTAACAGACTTTTCGGGAAGATCTCAACAAACTGTATAACCCCTTGTAATTCTTCAGATATTAGAATAAGGTCAATACAGGCTGCGCCACTCACACAGTTCTACTAAGCCCCTTGTAATCCCACGGCTAGCGCTACCCCTGCTGACGTGTCACGAGACATCAGTGTCACCAAACAACAGGCGCCACATGGCCACAAGCCACTTCACACCTATCAGGCACGTACGCAGGCCCAACAGCTGGGGAGCTGTTCTCCCCAGGCGTTAGTCGAGTCGGGGTGACGGTGCCCTACCGTTCCGTCGGCGTCCGGGCGCTAGCACTAGCGCAGCCTCCCTCACATTGCCAGGACTATGGAACATGCTTTTTCCGAATTAAATCAGGACTACTGTGTTGTCCTGATTTAATTTGGAAAACACATGTGCCTTGAATATAGCTAAGGCTAATCCGGGTGCTAGTGGGACCGTGCCCCGGGATATGCCTTGCTTCACTGGCAGGGGAATCTAAGAAAAATGAAAAAAAAACAAAAGCAGAAAAAATAGACATCCGGAATCTACCTGAAATACTAGTTAGAAGCATTCCACCAAGAACAGACGTGACCCCAACCCCCGCCCAACTTAGACAGTAGTTCTTTGTTTGTTTTTTGGTTCTTTATTTTTTACGTCGCAATTCTCAGCGACCGGGTGTTCATGTGAACGACCCCCCTCAAATGCGGCGCGTTAACGGGGCACGCCTGCGGCCCATAGCTGGGCCAAGTACTGGTGGTTTAACGTGAAAGGCCAGTGGTCTGGATGGGCCAAGTACTGGTGAATGTGCGTCGTGGGCGCTCCTGCGACCGAGTGGTGCTGCATCAGTGTTCCGGGGTTCTGCAGAGGGAACGGGGAGTAGTTATGTTGGAGTGGTCGGATGTGCATGCATTATGGATCAGGTAGTACTATGTGGGATCCATGGATGCAAGTCCGGGAGCACGGCATGGGTGGTACTATCTGGGCAGTATTGTATTATGTGGCACGGGTGATACGGAGTGAGTTAGGTGACACTATGTGGGGCTGGTCATACTATGCGGATGAGGTTATACCATGTGGCCCAAGTCGATACTTTGTGGGTTGGCCGGTACAGTGTGGGGATCACGGGCAATGTTGCGCAGGCTGGTGGTGCAAACCTACTCCCTGCACCTTCCCCAAAGGAAAAACACACACCAGAAACCGGACTGCTATGAGCCTGCATGCAAACAGCAGCTCTGAGATATCTCTAGTATTCTCGAACACCATAGGTGTGCAATGAATTGCAGTTGCTCACGTGGGCTGTACACTAAGTTTGTCTGCGGCACACCTGGTCTGAGCCCTGTGGGACTTGATCCCGTGATCTACAGTTTGCATGTGTTATTTACTAGCTTTGAGTCTTACTGGGCTTGACCCGTGAACCTGTCGCTGGTAGTCTTTATTTGGCAGTCTTAGGCCTGGACGCCACAAAAAAGTGTAGATTTTGGCGCGGAGGGTTTTTTCACACCCCACAGTGCAGCGGGCCTCTATCTGCCTTGGCCTACAGCCAGGGCCTATTGGGCTATTTGCCTGTTCGGCCTGTGGGACCAGGCCGTGGCCTGACCCCACAGGCCGTGTGCTGTTCCAGTCCAGTCCAGTCCTGCCCGGTACCACTGTCGGTACCCGGCCAGTCCAGTCCAGTCCAGTCAGTCCGCCGGGGGTATACCCCAGCTGTTGTCTGTTTTTAATTCATTCTTCATTCTGCACATTTTGGAGTACGTGCGTGTAGAGTCTGCGTCGGACTTGCGCTGTCCCTTCCAGCTCCATCTCCATCTCCTCCTTCTTGAACCCTCCGTCTTCATCCTGACGGACCGCCATCCTAGTGGGTCCATCACACTGGTATCCAAGCGGGAACGTTCCCCGCCCCAACCCACCACACCCCGTCACAGTGGAAAAGCAGTGTAATCCCGATAGCGGGATTTTTGTCGTTTTCTTATTGTTTTCGCAGTGAACGAGCAGAGAAAAGTGCAGCGCGAAGTTTGCGACAGGCGGCACGAAAAGAAAGAGTGTCGTCGGCGCCAAGATTGCGATGACGGTCCGGCACACTGGTATTAGAGCGGGAACGTTCCCTGCTCCTACCCACCACACCCCGTCACAGTGGAAAAGTGGTGTAATCCTGATAAGTGCTGCGTGCGTCAAGTTTGCGACAGGTGGCACGAAAAGAGAGCGTCGTCAGCGCTAAGCTTGCAACAAGTGGCACGAAAAGAGAGAGCGTCGGCACGGTGCTTGCGCGCAAGGCCAAGGCCGCCGCACGCGCCCACGCTGCCCCACTACCCCGCCCCGCTCCGGGATTGTACATATCAAGATCTGGGATGCACGCTGCTGCCAGGGTTTGAACCCATGCAGCTATTGGCCATGCGCGTGCGTAGCCAGTGCTGTAACATGCTGGCCAAACCGTCTCCATGACTCTGTAGTGCGGGACGTTCGTGTTGAAGAGTTCCACACGAGTTATTTACCTCTCCCCCCCCCCGGGCATCGTGGATGCTGCTGCCTGCGCACGTGGCCATCTGCAGTGCCACGTGACAGCTTGTTGAGGACCTTGAAGACTCCCCTGGCTAGGGGGCTGTACTACAGGGAGATATGGGTGGCTGATCAAGATCTCAACACACCCAGATGATGATGATGATGATGATGATGATGATGATAATTATTTTTCCTACTGCTGTAGCAGTACTTTGGCAGCAGTGAAGACCCCCCTGGCTAGGGGGCTGCGCGTCAGTGCAATCAAGGTGGATGATCAATATCTCAGACAACCCTTGATTATTTCATTATTATTATTCATTTTATGCTGCAGCAGCAGACTGCTAGCACCTTGAAGGCCAAGATCTTGGTGATCTTCGTGATCTTGTTGCTCTTGGCCAACCAAGAGTCTTGTATCATCTCTCTTCACTAACCTACTCTTCCCCCCCCCCCCCCTCTCTTTCCCCTACCATCTCATCACCTCTTCTACGTCTACCACTACTCCCCCCCTCTTACCTCTCTCTTCACTCATCTTCCACAATCTTTTTTTCCCCTCCCCTCCCCACTCACCATCTTCTACTAATCTTTCTCACTTCTCTCGACTCTTCTCATCACTCTCTCTCCTATTCTCCCACCCCCCTCTCTCCCTTCCCTCCCCCAACTACAACCCAATCATCCCCCCACCTCCCTTTTCAATCTTTTTCTCTTTCTCACCTTTTTTTTTTTTTCTCTTCATCACCTTTTCACCCCCCCTCACCCCTAACTTTGAATTTTTTTGTTCTTTCTTCTTTTCTTTTTTTCTCTGAATAAAATTGTTTTTTCTCTAAAAGTTTGAAGTATCTTCTCCCCCTACTTCTTTCTCATTTTTTTGATTATTTTTATTTTTATTTTTATTTATTCTGAAAATTTGAATTTTTCTAGGATACCTCTATATCTGTTTTGGACTTGCTATTAAGCCATCGATGCGCATTTTGACCCCTTGGAGGTAACGAAGTGCTGCTGGAATTTTCTTTTCCCTCCCCACTCTCTCCCATCTTACTTGGTCAGTTTTTTCGTGTTCACAGCACACTTCGACCCCATAAGGGTAACGAAATGCAGCCGAAAGTTTTGAAAAACCCAACACTTAGTCCCTTTACTCTCCTCCACCTCCTTATTTATTAATTAATTATTTTATTTTTCTAAAAATTATCATTTGCGGCATTTTGAAACTTAGTGTTCTTCTCTTGGTCTCTATTTCCTCTTGGCACATTTTTGACCTCATGGGGGTAGGGAAATGCTGCCGGAAATTCCAAAAAAATAGATATTATTTCTCTCTTTACATTTTGTTTACTTATTTTTATTATTTACTTTCTTTTATTTTTATCTCGAAATTTCACTGTTTATTTTTTTTTTTTCCCCCTCCCCTCCATGGTTGCTATTTTCTTTTCTGGATTAGGTCGCCGCTACCCCACCCTAACCACCCAAACTCCGATTAGGGTTTTCTTAGGTGTTTTGTAGGGTTTAGGGTTCTCCTAACCCCCCTCCTCTCTCGCTTCCTCCCGTCGGGCACCCTGGACCCGAACGACTCCTCTCCCCTCGATCGGATTCACTCTCATGCGCGACCCACTGGTCATGAGGCAAGCCGGCTCACGACTACCCACTCCGCTCCCGTGGTCCCCTCCCTCTTACTAAAGGTCCCCTGTCCCCACGCCACAACCCATCTCTTTCCCCACCTCTTTCTCCACCTCCCACCATATCTACCCCCATACGTCTACCGCCGACGGACGGGACTACACCAGGGGAGATCGTCGCGGCGTCCTCCATCTCCCAGGCGCCAACCCACTCGACGGTCCAGGGTCAAACCTTTGTGGACCCTACGGACCTTCACGTTGTTCTTGCGTCCCTTCTTGCACCTTTGCAAGCGCGACTCGATGGGCTTACACACCTGGAGGGGCAAGTAAATAAGCTCATCCTTGAAGTTCACCGCCTCAAGGGTTCTCCTCACGAGTCTCACACCCCATCCCCTATCGGCTCACAGTCCGTCTCCCCACGACTCCAGACACGGAGACGTGGTGTTTTTTCCTCCCCCGCGAGTCCGACCCAGCACTCCCCCTCCACAATGGTGAGTGCCACTACCGCTCAGACTATACCATTTGTTGCGGCACACCCGTCGACCCCTGCCGCTTTGATATTGGTATCTGGCCAAGCAATTTTACCTACTCATCCTGGCATGGCTTACCAGCTTCCCGCTTCGGTTCCGATACTACGGACCGAAACCTTCCCTCCTCCCATCATCTCCTCACTCTCACCTCAAGGTTCCCTATAGTTCGTAACTCCTCCTCTCGCTAGGTTACCCTTTCCGCCTCCTCCACCTCTGACCCCGCGCACCCAACGAGTGGCTACCTTACAAGCCACTGTGGCATAACTGCAGTCGGAGATTCTCTCCCTAAGACAACCTCACCCTTCACAGAGTGCTTACCCTTCTTCTTCTTATACCGCCCCTCCCACCTCTGTCTTGTCGGCTTGTTTCCCTCGACCGGCTCCTCCCCCCTACCCTCCTACCTCGCCACTCAGTCACAACTGGTTGTGGTCGTTGCCTCCACCTCTAATGGACCTTCCACCAGCATCCCCGACCCACAACCTGCCACCACTTCCACCCCTACATCGGCCTCGACATTTGCCGCCACAGTGCAGACCCATCAACCTCTCTCCCCTCGCCGCCAGCACAGCAGTCCCACCTTTCTGTGTATGTCGGATATACCCGACTACGATGGTACACTTCGTGTGTCACATTGGTTGCAGGCTGCCACACGTGCGCTGACTCTGACAAACACTAATCGGGAGTTATGGTGCTCTATGCTCGCAACTAAATCGCGAGGCAACGCGTTCTCTGCATGGGAGAACTACTATATATATCGTACTCGCTCAGGTGAGGCTCCCACTCACTTGGACTTTGCAGCA